CTAGAAATTCATCAAATGGATGTTAAAACCGCTTTCTTAAATGGTAAGTTAGAGGAAGAAATTTACATGGAACAACCATAAGGATTTTCTGTTCCAGGAAAAGAAAAGAAAGTGTGTAAATTGGTTAAATCATTATATGGTTTAAAACAAGCGCCAAAGCAATGGCATGAAAAATTTGACAAAGCAATGATGTCAAATGGATTTAAAATTAATGAGTGTGCAAATGTGTTTATATTAAAAACACAGACAAATGTTATGTCATTGTATGTCTTTATGTGGATGATATGCTCATCATAGGTAGTAATAATGATATGATTAAAACTACTAAGAAAATGTTGAATAAACATTTTGACATGAAGGACATGGGCATTGCTGATGTAATTCTTGGTATGAAAATTACTAAAAACATCAGAAGGATATGCTTTGTCACAATCTCATTACATTAAGAAAATACTTGACAAATTCAGCAAAGATGATGATCATCTTGCTAGAACACCTGTAGATGTTAATTTGTATCTTTCTAAGAATGTACAGAAAAGTATTTCTCAATTAGAGTATGCCTAAATTATTGGAAGCTTAATGTACTTGATGAACTGCACTCGCCTAGATATAGCTTATGCAGTAAGTAAATTAAGTAGATATACGAGTAATCCGGGAGTAAAACACTGGAAAGCAATTATAAGGGTTCTTAGATATCTCCGATTTACTTGTAACATTGGGCTTAATTATACTAGATATCCAGCAGTACTTGAAGGATACTGTGATGCAAATTAGATATCGGATACAAGTGACTCAAAGTCCACTAGTGGTATGTCTTTACTCTTGGTGGGCGGCTGTATCTTGGAAATCTTCCAAACAGACTTGCATTGCTAGGTCTACTATGGAATCTGAATTCATAGCTTTAGACAAAAGCTGGGGAAGAGGCAGAATGGCTTCGCCACTTCCTTGAAGATATTCCAATATGGCCAAAACCGGTGCCTGCTATATGCATACATTGCGATAGTCAATCAGCTATAGGTAGAGCACAGAGTCATAGGTATAACAGTAAGTCACGACACATTCGTCGTCGACATAACACCGTGAGACAACTACTCTCTAATGGAATTATTTCCATAGAATATGTTAAGTCTAAAGACAACATAGTGGATCTACTAACCAAAGGGTTAGCAAGAGAGTTAGTTGAGAATTCATCGAGGGGAATGGGACTTAAGCCTATTAAATAAGAGTTACCACAACGGCAACCCAACCTAGTTGACTGGAGATCCCAAGATCTAGGTTCAAAGGGACAATTGAGTTGTGTATGACTCAGAAGGATCACTGGGGAGTCTAACTTCTACCCATTTCTTTGATGAAATAGTGATACCTGCAGCGTTTGAGGTTAAATAAAATTTTAATGATTCTTATATCTAGGTAAACCTAGTAGAGTATGGCAAGATACTCTTCATAAGAATCACATATGTGAGTGTGAACTGGGCCGGTTCTATGAGTTTTGTGAAGGGCTACAATTCTCTAGAGCACTCATGAAAGACTAGGTTGTTCAGGGCCAAAATGAACACAATAGTGAGAACTAAAATGTGTCTGGGGATATACTGTGTGAGTTCTATTGTCTTGGTTTACACAAACGACTGAACAGTTCAAGACATCATATTCACTAGTTAGCTAGTAAATCCGATAGTGTCTCACAAGGGAAGGTTCAAAGCCAAAAGCTACCTATCATTTGCAGAATATTTCCAATTTCTGTACTCTCTGAAATTTGATCATCTTGTTGCATTTTCTCTCCGTCAAATTCCTTTCATGTGGGGGATTGTTGGTAAAATGGTTTAATATAGGCATATTTTTTAGTCCAAAATTGAGTGAACCCCAAAACGTCTTTTGGGGTGGGTTCAAAGAGGTGAAGTGTTCCTTGCCGCGTGACAAGTCACACGGTGAAGACGGAACGTCAAAACCATTTATGAGTGAATGGGAAGTTGACGTCGTTTTCGGGTCTAACATTAATTTTTTAGATAAAATTCATTTGAATTTTTTCAATAAAAATTATTGTGGAAATTTAATTTAATTCTAAATTCAAATTTTTGGGTTCCTAACTGGTTTCCTAAAATTTGTACCTCTTACTTTATTTATTAAACTATTCAATTTGTTTAATATATATATATATATATATTCAATTGATTTAATATATATATATATATATATATATTCAAAATAGTTTATAAAAAAAATTATTGTGGGAATTTAATTTAATTCTAAATTCAAATTTTGGGTTCCTAAGTGGTTTCCTAAAGTTTGTAATTGTGGGAATTTAACTTAATTCTAAATTCAAATTTTGGATTCCTAAGTGATTTCCTAAAATTTGTACCTCTTCCTTTATTTATTATACTATTCAAATAGTTTAATATATATATATATATATATATTCCTAATAGTTATTAATAATAAAGTTCCAAGCAGTTCTTTGTTTGACCAACCGATAACTTTTCAAATTTGTTTGAAATTTTGTTCTTTCCTGCGGTCAAATCTTATATTCAAATTGTGAATAGCTTTGCACCTGTTCACTTCGGAATTGCATCTGTTCGGGTCAGAGCTTGTTGCCTATATACCAACATACTCGCAATGTGTCATCATCCGGAAAAATTGAGTCTGCATCCTATATACTGCTGTCCAGATTTTTTCTCTTTTGCATTTTATTCCTCATTCTAGTTTTTTTTAGAGATATTTTAAAGAGAGTATTAGAACACAAGGTTTGGTTCGCCGTACAAATTTGTTTGGTGTGCTACAACAATTTTGTGAAGATCATTGTATCCTAGGAGATAGACACCCACTGCTAGAAATGAGGGTTTTAGCAAAAACTTTTGTGATGTTTAGCAGCGAACGCCGAAGATGCGGCCGTCGCTATAACTTTGTGACGCTTTTAGAAACGTCGCTATATTACTATAGCCGGCGTTTTCTAAAAACGCCACTAAAAGTTATATTTAGCGACGTTTTTAAAACGCCGTCTTATCTCTTTCCACCAAAGAAAAATCCAACCGTTTAGCGACGTTTTTAGAAACGCTGTGATAGCCCCTTTTTTTTTAAATTGTGCTGATTTTATGTTATTGAACTAAAAAAATACCGATAATAAAACCAAAAAATAACACTAATATGAAATAATAACTCCCATTCACATAGTAAAATCTTATCAATTGATAGTCCACAATCATTGTGCAAAAAAAAAATATTCACACACAAATCATTTGAACAGCATTAAGGAGTCACCAAAATAGGATGCCCCTCTATTTGAGCCAAAATAGGAATCTGGGCATTTAAGCCAACTTGATATTCATATTCTCATTCACAATAATCACATTCACAAACAAATCCTTTTCCTACCATATCAACCTAGTTCACCAAAATAGGATGCCCCTTTATGCAGTGTCATGCGTCTCTGCAATTACATTGGGAATCTGAGTTTTGTTGACTTGTAATCTAGCCTCTTCATCTTTGTCTCCGATGCACTTTTTCCATTTATCTATGTTGTTCCCTGAACTTAAAAACATGTATACAATTGGGAGGAGAGAGAGAGAGAGAAGTTGATATCAATAATCATAAACAATAGAAACAATTATCCATAAACAATTAATTCTCAACAAAAGACTAATTCTTAACAGGTAATTATAACAGTGAAATGGAAATATAAGCTACAAAAACTAATTCTCAACAAAAGAAAATTTCATAAAGAAAACAATCATCAATCCATATTGATATCAATAATCATAAAGTTCAATATAAAACATATATCCATATATCCATCACCCAATAGGACATTAAGCTAGCAAGTTTGCAACAACATATCTCATTCCGATTTTGCACCCACTTAATTCCAAGTACGTCAAATTCAAGACTCAAATCTGCATATATATATATATATATATATATCAGCCATTTCTAATAATGCTTCCTTTCCTGATACTATTGCTATGCACAGTACTATTGTCTATCCACCAAACAATTCACCATTTCCCTCACAAGGCAGTAACAAAAGTGCTGCAATGTCCAAGTCTAACGATTTTTTTAATTGAGAGACAGATTTAAGAGATGTTAAATGATAGCCGAAGAGATATCTATGAAATTAACCCAAAATATTATGTTCTAATACAGTGATTTGATGATAGAGACAGAGAGTAAGGTGCATTTCCAAACAAGCTAGTCAAAAGGAAGAAGAAGACAAATAAAAAGAGTCCTTTATGTGTATTTAAAAAGCAATCAAATTCAGATTTTAGATTAACATAATACAAATGAAGTAGTACAAACCAATTAGGAGATACTAGAGCCAAAATTCTAGTAGTTGTGACAGATTTGCGCAGATAAGGTTTTCCTATGCAAGGCTTAGGCTCATATAGTATAGTAGTAAGAAAGGCTAGGCATTATAAAGGTGAACATAAACTTTTAACATGCACATATACTTTTTAAATTAGCATTGAAGATAACATCTAACAATCTTTTAAAAATTAAACACCTGTTTTAACAAGATTTTAGCTTCCAAAAAGTAAATTTTATTTCTTCTCTCCCACACACCTGTAGAGGGATTTTGGGAAAAGAAGAAAGAGAAGAAAAGAAAAGGACAGTACCCACGAAACCAAAACATAGGTATACACACAGAGCTCATTGTGGTAGCATATACAAATAAACTTACTATGAAGCATACATTTTGGCAACTGGGTGAACCCATTTCAATCACTTATTACAATGATTTGGAGGATTAGTAGAAACCAAGATTTTGTACCTGAAGTTTGCCAAGGTGCCATGCTCCAGAAATGCACACCACCTCAAGCGTTTTGTCATGCATGGACTGAAGATTGAAATCATCGTCATGCTCATAATCATTTTGCCAAAGATCAACTCCACCCATATAGCTGCCTATGTTGAGCACAATTAAATGCTCAGCATCTTGGAGGAAAAGTTAAAAGGAAAAAATTTAAAAATAGTCCAATTGAAAAGGAAACTAGAACAGCAAAGAAAGAATACCTCTATTGCAAGGGTGCTAATTGTTGTATCCTTCACATCCCTCAGCAAGTGCTCAACCCTGTTGAAGTAATTTGATTACAGAATTAGCCATATGGACATGGAGAATACGTGGCAGACAACATTCAGCTATGGTCGAGCGTTAAATATCTTCCTTTGAGGTGGTTGGGGTAAATAAATGTCCTTTAGGCCATCCAGAAGGGACAAATTCTTCGGGTTGTAAAATTTAAACTTTTAGATAGGAACTAAAACAAGATAAAAAAGAAAGACAGTTACCTCGATATAGAGGCCACAATCCTGGTTTGTTCCTGAAACATACCAAAGGTTTTTCAATCACAAAATTCAAGGAACATGCATAACAAAAAAATGACAAGGAATAACATAGACCAAAATATACGTCGACCAAAGTACCAGATAAATCACTACATTACAAACTTAAGTTTAAATAGGACCTCATCTCTTTCTGATAGCGTCGAAATGCTGAATCGCTGTGGACATGGATGATTACCTTATCTCTTTTATTTGCTGCAATTGTATTGTCAGAATCAAATTACTTCTCCGTAATGTAATCAACAGTAATTCTAACTTGTCTCTTCTCGATAATGTACAATCCCAAGAAAGCCTCATCCTTCATACACGGCAAAATGTAAGGGAAGGAAGATTAAAAAAAAAATAAGACATTTAATTCGAAATAGAATATTTACCCTATCAGCTATTATCTGCCCATCAGAAAAGGAAACTTCAGAAAGAGATTCTGCAATGTGACTCAGCTGTAAGATTGTCAACCTCGAGAGCAGATCTATTGATCGAAGCAACTTCAATGATGATAAATTTGAAAATTCTGACGTAAGAATTCCTCGAAAATCTTCCCTTTTTAAAGCCCAAAGAGTTCCACTTGTCACAGCACGGACAGAGGCCTGGAGTGGTTTGTTATTCCTAAGTGAAATGTACCGGAGGAAACCACATACAGTAAGAATGAAACTACCATGGTTAACATTAACAAATTCAAGGAAATCATGATCCTAAATGTTCACAATAAGTCATGGAATGAACCATGTTTCTTAGAAAATAATTATGGATCTAAGATCACCAGAGTTGTGTTTGTCTGAGAACACTAGAAATAATCCTGATCAAATCATGTCTGCAATTATTTCTGATTTAAATTATGTTGGACCTTTTGATCTTAGGTACCAATAAAGAGTATGTAAAGTCAACCCATCAATGATTAGGTGGGATCCACAAATGTAGTGGCTGATGATTCGCTTTTGCTTATTCAAAGGGCTAATTATTTATACACCATTTTACTCATTATGTAAACATGAACGGCATTTTTGGAAAATACGATACTGACACTTAAATCCAGATACAGGAAAATTATTAATGAAGAGAGTTTTACTCGTTTAAGTAAACATGAACGGCATTTATGGAAAATATGCTACTGACAATTAAATCCAGATACAGGAAAATTTAATGGAGAGAAAAAGAACTCACATTAGTGCCAGCTCTCCAAATGATGATAATCTTTCAGCTGTATACAGATGCAGAACCCTTGGAACCTCTCCATCTTTTTCTTCCTGCTATTTATGATATCTTATTAACATTGTAACTGAAGAAATTTACAGGGAATAAGCTGCAACATAAAATCAGAAATATTCTCCTCCAGAAAACATGTATTTCATAAGAAGACAACTATTGGTCTAAGACAACTAGGAATGTCATTTACTGAACATTTCAAAAGACAATTTTAAGAATCAAATAAAAAGATATCATATAAGTTCACATCCACAATGTTGCTTTGACTTGGGTCACTAACCTTACAAGTGCAGTGGACCCCTTGCCCATTTCCCCTGACTAATTGCATCTTTCAACTCATTATATGAGTTCACATCCACAATGTTACTGTAGAGGAATTATAAATGTGTTAAGGGTATTATCCGAACAATATACCAAAATTCAACAAATACAAAGCAAGGAAAACAAACTATCAAACATAACAGAAAGGCAAAGATTGGGTGAACAAATTCAAAGGACTGAAAGATGGGAAGCAAGAATACAAACTGTCCAATACAGAGAAGAGAGGCAAGTAGTCAATGTACCACGCTTAAGGAAACACAATTTTGACTTCAAAACTCGTATGTGCTGACTACATAGATCCATTATGTAATCAAGCAAGTATATGATCTAATCTAACTACATCTAAAGCAAGTATATGATCCACACTTTCACTTGATTGATCCAAAAGCTTCACAAAAGAAATCAAGGAAATATGCAATACACATTCTACCTGCTTTGTAGAAGCTCCAGACAACGGTGCTGTTTGGTGTAGCTGTTAAAACAGATTATAGATTATGACTTTAATCAGAAGCTGTTAATCTGTTTGGTATAGCTATTGGATTATAGATTTAAGTTGCTGAGTAGTATTTGTTAAATAAACTGTGAAGTAGCTTTTTCAATTAATTTTTATTTTTTATTATTCACTATCTGTCTACATTTTTCATAAAAAATAATAATAATATTTAATAGTCCATTTGGGTCTTTTTCTATTTTTAAAAAAATAAAAAATAAAAAATCTAAGAGTATAATCGTGAATTAACATGTCTACAGCAGAAGCTGATAATCAGAAGCAAGGGGTGAGCAGCTTCTCAGAATCAGCTTTTTTGACTTAAAATAAGTTGTTAGAATCAGAAGTTGTTTGAAATAAGTTTAGCCAAACAGTCCAAAATAACTTTTTAAAAGCCAGAAGTCATAAGTTGGCTTAAAAAAGCTCCACCAAACACCCCCAATAGAAGATCAGTTGTTACCATTCCCGGCTGCAGCCAACAAGAGGGAAAATTATGTAACAACGCGTTCACTTGATTGATCCAATGACCCATTACCAATGACACAAGTCCAAAAAGCATTAGCTCTGCCAAAAGGTAAAGGCAGGACATATTTGAGATGAATGAAAACAACTTTGAAACACTATTAGAGATCATTGTCCATTTAGGACATATTTGTTAGGATGGATTAAATTAGATGAAATTAATGTCTATTAGCTTTAGAATTATTGATCTCTTTAAATTGTGTATTATATCCCATGTTTTGATTAACTTATGATTATGAGAAGAAAAATGTTAAAAACAGTTTTAAAGCCTATTAGTAGGGTTATGTGTGAACACACTATCCGGAACTTGCTACAAGATGTAATATTTTCCACGTTAAATTCTATAAATTACCAAGAAAATAATGAATATGTCCGAGTTCATTACCTTAGGCTTGAGGTCACGGTGAACTACACCTTGGAGATGTCAGTAGGCAACCACGCTCAAAATCTGTACCACGACAGCCTTTGCATCTTCTTCCGAGTATTTTCCACCTCTAGAGAACATAAATAAGAAATTTATATGGCCAAAAGATTGCAGAACATGCCAAAGACTGCCATGAAAGAAGAAAATATGAAAATACGGTACCTAGAAAGTATTCTATCCAATAATTCACCTCCTTTGCATAACCTGAAAAACACAAAACATGATACAAAGTAAGCTTCTAACTAGAATAAAAGAAGAATTCAACTACTTTTTCTGATTTGCATTTGGGTTAATTTCATAAACAAATTGGAAAATCTCCAGAGTAGTTTATGTTCGATTTCTGGATAAGCTTGACTGCCACATCCTGTCCTTTTAAGCTCTATTTCTTCGCCTTGGCAGAACAAGTATAACCAAAATGCCCGCGCCCCATCTCTTCACCTAGCTCATAATAGATCATGAATTGCTTTGAAAACCCAAAATTCTTGTCCAACCCCAATTCAATCTCATTCCCTTCTGGTATTGAGGCCTCATTCGGCTTAACCGAGCCATGCCTTCGAGCAAGCAATGCCCGAATGTGCTTTGCCGGCGAAGGCGGAGGAAATGGGAGCTTGAATTTGTGTAGAGGGTTTGAACTCACACTGGAATTGGCAGGTGAGTTCTCATTGGGAATTAAACCCGGCTCGTTCTCACTGGAATTATTGGGTTTTCAGATTTTCTTTGTGGGTTTTTAGTGGGTTTTCCATGACAAATTCCCATGGAATTAGAAACCCAATTGGAACAGAATTACTGAAACCAAGTACAAAAATCAAAAAAGAAAATCAAGAAACAAGAAGATAGTTAAACCATTAATAAGGAAAAGAAAACAGACATACAAGAAAGCAAATTTTCAGTTGAATTTAAAGAACTGAACCTCAAATCAGAGGATGTGAAGAAACCCAACTAAGAAAACGAAAATGAAAGTTCAATAGAAGAAAGCAATTCAACTTTCTTATTAAACAAACAACGGCAGATGGACAAAACCCATCAAGAATCAACACATTTTCAGCTGAAGAAGTGAAGGAAATAGGGGACATGAAAACAGCAAAACAAGAAAACCTAGGGCAATTTTCAACCAAGAAGGTAAAGAATGAGAGTGAGTAACAGCATAAAAGTGAAAAAAAAAAAAAAGATGCTTAGTAGAGGGTGCAAGAAAAGAAAAGAAAGGTTACTTACTTTCCTTGCTTGCTTTATCAAGCTTTTTCTCTATGTGGTTTTTGTGTAGAAATTTCATATATAATTCTTGTTTAGAGGACCAATTGTTACTATCCTTCATCAGCAAATAATATTAATCATAGTGGGGTTGGATTTGCGTTTGGATCCTCTTCCAGCCTGTATGTGAACATTTTTGCTTACAATTGAAAGAGCTAACATTTGTCTGTGTCGTTTGAGCTTTGACCACCTTTGTGAAGTTTGAACAATTTACCTATGTTTTTTCATCTTTATTTATTTATTTATTTATTTTGAGACCTTTTCCACAAAATTTGAAATGAAATGCTTTTTTCTAGGTTTTTGGAAATTGGGTTACTGCTACAAGTGTGAAAACAAGTTTTCTCGATTAGTCAACCAAATTTCAGTACTTCAAAAATAAATAAATAAAATATTCAGTGCTATGCTTGAGTTTAGAAATATCCCAAACCATTAATCATCCAAATGAGCTAGAGCAGAAACACCAGCTTTCTCGATTGTCCGTGCTAATTCTACCATATCCTGGGATGATTTTAGAAGTTGAATCTTACATGTTATTAGTGTGTCCAAATATCGCTTTAATGTTGTCAATATCTAGATCAATAGAGAAACAACATGAGGGTTAAAGCTTTTAGTTCAAATAATGAACATAGAAGGAAAAAGAAAAATAGAACTCCATGAATGCCATGTACCACAAATATTCATGATTAAGCCATACAGGTCAACACAACACACACAAACATAGAGATTAATATTAACCTTAAAAAGACAAAATCAAGCATTTCTTAAAAAAAAAATGAAATAGAAAAACTAACAAACAAACAAACAAAATAAGGAATTGAATCGATCAAAATAATCACAGAGAAACAGAACAGATCAAAAACGAATAATTAAAGTGATTTATTCTAGAAAAATTATTCCAGCAAACTGTTTTTCAGTAACTAAACAGACAGAATCACAGATTTGAAGCTCAAATAACAAACAATCAACAATCAAATTAAACTTCATAAACACAATCATATACATACATACACATATATACATATATATATGTATGCAATTTGTATAGATCAAAAAGAAAAACAAACCTCTGATCGAAGAAGACGAAGAGTTCCAAATCCACGGAGATGAATCATGGAGCTGTGCTCAAAATCAATCTTCGAAATCACAATCCTGAGATGAATCACCGACCTGTAGAAGAATCGAAGAAGAATCACTAATAGAGTGAAGAAGAATTGAGAGCCCTAAGGGCTTAAGACCTATATAGAGCCCTAAACAAAAGTATTCACTAAGCAAAACATTGATCCAAAACAGGGATAAATCACAAATAGAACAACTAACCTCTGATTGAAGACATAAATCACGGAGCTGTGTTCAAAATCAAACTTCGAAATCGCAATCTCGAGATGAATCACCGAACTGAAGAAGATTCGAAGAAGAATCACTGAGTAAGGGACTGGGAAGAATCAATCCTCTGAGAGAAAGAGATTTGGAGAAACAGATTCGATTCTCTGAGAGAGAGAGAGCAAGAGAGTGAGTGAGTGAGACAGGATTCGATCGTCTTGACGGCAGTGCTCAAAATAGGGTTTTCAAAATAAAGGTTTGGAGAGACAAAAGAGGGTGGGAAGAGAAACCGGATTTGGAGGCGCTTTTTAAACGTCTTCCATTAACAAAACGGTACTGTTTTAATTTATAACAAATGCGACGTTTAAAAAATGTCGTTAACTATTAGAAAATGTGACATTTACTAAAACGCCGTTAATTAAACGCCGTTAAATCCCTAATTTCCTGTAGTGGCCACTCAACCGTAAGCACCGTAGCGGGGCGATTCTGTCTTAAGGACAGAGTGTCACACACTCGACTTGGTCTTTTAATTTTATTTAGTTCGACGAAATAAATTCTGTAAATTTTATTTTATTTTGTTTGAAGTTGTTTCGATTTATTTTATTTACACAGAAGATTGATCCAACATTATCTCTAGTGACCCATTAGGATAACATGTTTTTCAAAAAACTTTGTTCAATTTTTTCTTTTAAATTACTAATATATTATTTATAAATATATGAACAATTCTATCAAATTAGACAATCGTGGTGCAATAATAACTTTTCGCATAAGATAATTTAAGCAGAAGTTACATGTATAAGTTTGACCAAACATGCAACAATAAGTTAAGCGAAAGCTAAAAGTTACATGTCTTAAGTGGTACCAAACAACTACTTTTGTTTAGTGTAGTTGGCCTTGGGGATTAAATTAATAATCGAATCAAGTACATAATTTTAAGGGAGAATTATAATTTAGTGCAAATTTAGAAAAGAAAAAAAAGAAAAAGTATATATAAGTGGTAAACTTTATAAACATTTATATTAAGATCACAAACTTTTGGGAGACTTATTTATAAGTCATTTTTCAGACACTTATGATAGGCTAAGTCCTGTGTAATTTCTTATAGAATCTCAAGTCCTATTTAGATAGGAATGTATTCCACAAGATCCTACATAAACGTAATGTGACGTGACACTTACATAAACGTAACGTAACGTGACACCTAGATAAACGTAACGTAACGTGACACCTATATAAACTTAATGTAACGTGACACCTATATAAACTTAATGTAACGTGACACCTACATAAATGTAATGTAATGTGTCACGTTACGTTTCGCAAACTTAATGAGTTTTTATTTTTTAAAATTGAATGTGAAAATGTTGTTGGTTTACGTTGGTGTCACGTTACGTTTCATATAAATGTGATATATGGTAACATTCAATTTCCTATATAGGAAATTGAATGTTGCCATCGATCATAGGTATCACGTTACGTTACGTTTATGTAGATACAATCTATGGTAACATTCAATTTCCTATAGTTGTCACGTTACGTTTATGTAGGTGTCACGTTATGTTACGTTTATATAGATATGATCTATGGTAACATTCAATTTCCTATATATAGTTTTACTATTATTTATGATATTAACAACTAATATTGAGGGTAAATGTGCCAACAAACTACCCACAGGACTTATGGGAACATAAGTTTTTTAGTAGGACTATATGTAGTATAAGTCTCCCTAATAGGACTTATAAATAATTTTCCCCAGACTTTTTTATTTTTTTGTAATATTTTTCTAAAGGGATATTGTCTAATATCTCTTTCTAACTTTTAATAATAGGAAAGATTCATAATATATATATTTTTTGTAGCTTAAGGTTCCTTCTCACCCACATCCATATCACATCCACTCTCTCTCTCTCTCTCTCTCCCTCCCTTACCATAGCCTCCTCATTCGCCTCCAATGCCGATGTCTCCTCCGCCACCGTGACTATCGCCGCCTCATCTCTGACAACGACCTCTCATCTTCCTCTTCTTTGTCATCTTCATCTCTAACGACGAAGGTCGCTTCTCATCTCAGATTTGAAAACAATAGGCCACTTTCTTTGACTCATCTCCAAGACGGCCGCTCCTACTCTGCCGCCTCATCTCCGACATTCTCTCTCTATATATATGTGTGCGCGTGTGTGTATGTGTGTGTGTGTGTGTTCGTGTACGTGATATGAAATTGGTGACTTTCAGATCCTAGTTCTCATCGATGAGAAGATTCTTCAATTTCGAATCACTATGAAAGAAGCCACGGGAGTGGCAGAATCTAACGACATAGATCAACAACTTGCCTCCCTTCGAGAAATCCAATATGACCTTCTTTTCTAGATTGTGATTTGTGGTGCCTTGCGAAGTCCATCAACCAAGCAGTGTTGTGATTTCTTCTAATAGGGTATTCATTTTTTGTTGGTTATGTTGATATTGGTTGTTTTTTATGTTTGTATATTCTAACTTGTCAAAGCAATTGACAATGAGATTTGTATATTCCCAGCCTGTTTGATTATGTACTGAAAGTGTTTGTTGTTATGCTTGTGAGAAGCGATTCGTAAAATTTCTCTGATCATATTTGTAGAAAAATTTTACAAACACTAAGAAAATTGGTCAAAACATAGAAAAAAATTACGAGCAAATCAAAGAAATTTGTGAGCAAACCAGAAAATTTTCAAACTAGAAAAATTTGTTTGCATTTTGAATTTCTCTAGATTAAAATTTCTCTGAGAAATTGTTGAGGGATTCCAACCACTGTGAAAATATTACATGTCTTTTATCCTAAAAAATTTTAATACCAAAAACTTAAAAAAAAAATTGCCCTTTTCTAAAATCCGCTCAGGGCCGGCCCTGGGCATAGGCCCACCAGACCATGGCTTAGGGCCCCTCAAAATAGACCCAAAAAAGGCGGGGCCCTCCTATTATAGTATAGTGTAATATATTAGGTATGTTTTATGTCCAAAAATAATTAAAGAAAGTCAAAACTAATTTAAAATAAATTGACCCATTAAAAAATTAAAATACTCATTCAAAATTAAAAGGACTCATTCTCTCTCCCTATCTAATTTAAACCCTAACTCTTAATTCATTTTTTCCAAAAAATAGAGAGAAGCGGCACAACATAGCACTAACGAATTTTTCAAGAATTTACAGCAGCAGCACAGCAGGTAGATCTTTTTTTCTATTCAATTAATTAAATATTTGTCATGTCTTTTGCTCAATTGCTATTATAACATTGATTTATTTGCTCTAAAAATGCAAGAAGAGCGAGGTCAAGTGAAACTTATTAGTTGTTGTAATGTAATCCTAAGTATTTTTTGTAATTTTGACATAAATTTTTTGTCCTTTACCTTAAAAAAAATCATTGAATGAAAATATATATATATATATATATATATGTGAAGGACCCCAAATACTATAATGATAGTTATTAATTAATTACCAACTTTGGACTCTGAAAATCTCACGACTCCCTAGTTTTTATTAAGAAAATGAGTTTCTGAATCTCAAGAGATAATATAACATTGATAAATCCCCAAACAAACATAGCTTACACTCAACCTGCTTCCTCGCTAGACCAATAAATAAAGAAAAGAAAAACTCCCACCGTTATGAAAATATTTCATATTCTTTAAATTATAGAATTTTAATATGAGAGATCTTAAAACAAATTTGCCTAAAGAAAAATAATGATTCACAAACAAAAAAAATTCATACAAAAATGGCAATAAAATTTTAAAAACTGTACCTTTAATTGGCCACATAATTAAAGAAAAATATTTTACAACAAAACAATTTATACAAAAATCAAACTGACATTTTAAAATTTTCGGTTTAATGAATAGACTTGTATACCACCTCATTCTTTATGAATTATTGGTATAATTTATTTTATCATTACTCATAAATAAATTATTGGTAAAAAATCACCATCTAAACTTACTAATTTGTTTGACAACCACCCTGAGTTGGGACATTTGGATAAAGAAAAAAAAAATATACAAACATAGAAGGATGCAATTTTCAAAATTTTTCACTTCCACTCTACATTTCACCGCAGATGCATTGCATTTCTCATATTTTTATAATTTCTCTACCTCAGATTCACTTGCATTTCTCATATTTTTATAATAAATAAGAAAAAAATTCTCTGCGTTAATGTGATTTACTAATTTTATAATTTTATGCGCATAAAATTTAATAAATAAATAAATTTTTAAAAAAAAATCAGAAAACATTGTAGTGAAAAATGGGAACCAGAATATGAATTTTCCATTATGGAGCAACAATCTTTAAACTTTACAATATATACAGTCACCTTCTTCTTCCGAACCAAATAGTGCTGTGATTTCTTCTAATAGGATATTCATTTGTAAACTACTACATCTAATAGGTAGAGAGAGAAAAGAGAGATCAACTCATTTTTCATTTGGGTGGGGGGGTTCAATTGGGACCCCAACAGCTCAAGTACATAACTTTCCTGAGAGACTCCTCTGCCTGCCTTGCCTTGTCTTCTCTTATTCTACTCGAAACCACGGCGGAAGACGAGGGAGAGAGTTTCTTGGCCTGAGAGTAAGCCCTCACGTTGTTCTTGACGTGGTGGTGTATGGATCTCATGGCATAGTTCCATCTACAGAACCCTTGATCTTTGAGTGCCTCCACAGCCCCAACGCTTGCTGCCACAATCCAAGCTCTGCTTGCCGAACTCATCTTTTTTCAAGTGAACAATATTGTGAGGTTTATGATGAATTTTGGAATGGATGAAGGACTTGTGATCTTGGTTGGTCTATATATATAAAGATTCAAACAGTGTTATGCAGATGAGAAACAAAACAGGAGGCTGGTGTAGCTGTTTTACCTGTGGTTTTTCCCTTTCCTGTGGTGTGGGGGTTGAGCAAGTGGGTTTGAGTGGGAAAAGACTGAGGGATGGTTTTGGGACCATTTGGATTAAATTGACTGTTTTACACTTTCTATTGAGTTCAGCAACTTTAAAATAATGAGGACAGAATTGTAGTTTACTTAGCATGATTCCATAATTGCATACCACTCGCCTAGGCAGTGATGCGCACTCCGTTTTACTTGAAATAGTCTCCTTCAGTCACTTGCAGAGTAGAGTGACACTTCAGTTTGCGTGTTTGGTGGTGCTGCTATTTAAGATGATTTCACTCTTTAAAAATTCGTTCGGGTGTAAATAGTTAATTACTTATTTAATTTGGTACGATAAATTTAAAATTATATAAAAATATCGCATTTTTTTAATTCAGTTCAATAAAAAGTCATTTCAAATCGACTTAAAAATTTAACAAATCAAATTTAAATAAAATTTAAAACTTGTTAAAGTTTTCAAATTAAGCCTGAATAGTTAACTGTTCAGCTTGTTTAGCTCGTTTATCACTCATACTGTTATCGATTTAATAATCAGAATAAATTATAAATATAATTATTGAGATTTACTTAAAATATGAATTGTACTATTTAATTTTGAAAATTATAAATATTTCATTGTCAAAATTTTTAATTTAATAAAATTAATATAAAAAATAAAATTTCTAACTACTCTCCTAGATAATTATAAAATTACCTAAATTATTAATTAAAATACATTTATGACATCATTAAAAATAATTAATTGACTTGATAATTTTTTAATAAAAATGATCATTTGTTATACAATTATAAACTTGAAGGGACAGAATATAAATTTCAGAATTATATGAGACAATTTATATTTTAAACAAATATGAAAGAGTG